TGGATGGATGGAAAAGCTAGGGATCAGGTCATTTCAGGGCTACTGTAATGAGCAGACATAGATCCTAACTAGCTAAGAGCTGCCAGGAAAGAATGGCCACTCTGGTCTCTGCCACATGGGGGCGCCCAAGTCAAGGCGCACTAGACATAGAAAGGGGCTCCCTAGAGATAAAGGTTTATAGGGGCTGGGGAATTTCTCACCAGTCAGTCCTGCTCCCCAGACTCCCATTATCTCCAGCCTGGCTAGGAGCTGGAGGGAGCTGCACATCTCCAGTTGATAAAGGGGGCCAGGAGCATGGTAGTGGTGGGACCCAGAGCCAGGAGCTGAAGGATAGAAGAAGAAAGCCTCTTAATGCCCCTAATCTGGGTGGCTGGCAAGCCCTGCTTGGTGCTGAATTCTCGGCCTTCTCACCTGCAGCCAGTGAGGCACTACCTCACAGTGCCATGGAACTGGTGGCTGACCCCAGAGTGCCTACTCCCATCCTCTGTACAATGAGGGTAGCGGAAGCATGCTGGGGCCTTTGCAGTGAAGACCAAAGCAGGGTAGGTGGGGTGTGGGGGCCTCACAAAGACTTCCTAAGGGTACCCCATCCATCCTATTGGCCCTGCCAATAGGAGACACAGGAGATAGTTTGGGGACACAGAAGATAGCTGGCTCTCTACAGAAGGTGTGTAAGACATGGAGCACTGGAATGTTCCTAAAGGATGCTAAGGCTACCCTGATGCATCTAGTCAGCAAGTGAATTCCTCAGGCCCCTGAGAGGAATAGTATCTAGGCCTGTGGGGTGGGTAGTTGCAGATGTCTGAGGACAGGGACTCTTAACAGTTGGCCTTAGGACTGAAGGATCAGGTTCCACATTCTAGTCCACCCCATCACTTTGCTTTGTCTTCAGTCCTGGAGCCCTGGGGGTGCTCTCCTGTTATCTCCTATGTGTATGGGCCTGAAGGGAGGGATGCTCCTGGCTTGGCCTTGGCAAACTTCACAGCTTCTAGGCCTCCAGCTCCTTTCCTCCTGGGACCACCACTGGAAAGCCTTCAGGAAGCCAGGACCAGTCTTTCTGTGATGTCTTGGTGGGGGCCATGGCATGGAAGTGGAAGTATGAGTGGTCAGGAGAGGACAGATTTTGCTCCCAGACTCCCTTCCTTATCTGCCAATGAAAGAGCAGAAGGAGCTGCTGGGAGGCTGCCCTGCCCAGGAGCTAGCAGCCAGGCTGGTCTGCTGCATGGACCCAAAAGGCCAAGGAAGAGATCCCTGGGACACCAGCACTAGCTGGAAGGATGGAATTTGGCAGCTGTTTTCCACCCAGGCAGGTTCACTTTTTCCTTTCTATCTGAAGCGATTGTTCAGGGGGATTTGTGTTACCTCTAAGTAAGAACAGTTTAGGGTGGCCGTCCCTGGGGGTCCTGCTCTCCGTGAGGTACCACCCAGCCAGCCCTGGCTGAGGAGAGGAAGGGGAAGGATATTGCTTGGGACCTCAAAGATTCTGAGCTGTAGCGGTGGGACCCAGAGCCAGGAGCTTGTCTTGCTGTGCCCTGGGATCTGTAGGGTTTTGTGGAAGCGAGTAGCTTTGGGGGCAGAGCCGTTCTCCTGGTGGATGCAGAGTTCTCTGATCTTGGGCTGCTGCCAGGTGAAGCTAGATGGAGCACCAGGAAGGGGGCCAAATTTCTAGGAAGGAATCTGCCATTCATTCCTCCTTAACTTTTACTCCATCAGCAAATAGCCACTGAGCGTGACTACATGACCTGGGGGATGCAGTCATGAATGAGAGAGACAGGGTCCTTGCCTCACAGAGCTTTGGGAAGAGCACAGGAAGACAGAAGCTGGGAAATGGAAATGTAAAATAGAAGGTGCCTCACAAAAGAGGTCATTGGTGTCCTGGGACACAGAGAACCAGGCAGGGCAGCGATAGAGGCCTGGGGATGAGCAGAACTCTTCTCCTTGCTCCACTTTGGGCAGAAGCCTACAGATTCAGGGAACTGCCCTGTGTAGGGCCCCTGGGGCTCCATCACAAGCCAGCTTGCAGCAGCACTGCCCAATCCAGGCAGCAGAGGGCAGCAAGGGGCCTGCCTGCCTGGAGAGGTGCCTTTAAAATGTGGTGGTGGCAGTGGCTGGTGAGGGGCTGTGACAGGGGTGACAGGGGCGTTGGAGGGGTGGGGAACATGGTTGCCCAAGATTAGCCTTCTACTGGTGGGGGGAGGGTGTGCAGTTGCCTCCTCCTACTCAGTCCTTTGGGAGTCCTTTGGGAAGCCGGGCTGACAGGGGGTCCACCTTCTGGACTTGGTCCCGCCCCACCGGCCCACCCCATCAAGGCCTCTAGGGGGTTTGTCCATATGTTGTGGCCTTGACGTTGGTGAGTGACTGCTGAGAGAAGGAACCCGTGTCTGTTTCTCTGTGCCTGCGGCTGACAAGCTGTGTGTGGTGCTGGTCTGAGGAGAGGGTTTAAGTCATCTGTGCCACCCTCCCCCGCAACAGTTCTGATGGGCAGCTGGGCCCATTCACCCCCTCAAACTTCATCTCAGAGCTTTGCCGCCTTTCTTCTTGGAGGGCAGGAGAATGTAATTATGATTAGCACTCCCTACTGGGGAGCTTCCCCGCTAAGAGGGTGAAACCCTGGGGCCCAGGAAACCCTGGACTTCCTGCTGATTCCAAGAGGCCCAGTACTGATTTATAGGTTTGCCTCCCACCACATCCTCAAATTAGAGAACTGGGGGGCAGAGTGGCTGCTGGGGACAGAGGGCAGGAGGGAGGTTTGGAAAGACCAGGAGCTGTGACCTGAAACACTAGGGGTGAAGAGGTAGTTCCCCCTCTCACCCCTGGTAGAAGAGGCGGCAAAAGCATTTTCAGCAGTTGAAATAAGAAAAGTGGGTGAAGGTGACAGCAAGTGCCTGGCTCCCCAGGTAGATGCTACGTGACTACTGGCACGTTGAGTCTGTTTCCTGGGCGACCAGCTGAGCCAGGGACAAGGAGAGGACAGGAGTGTGACAGGAATGCAAGGGGGGAGGGAGGCAGTGTTGCTGGCTGGCCGGCCCCTCACATGCCAGTTCCTTATTCTGCCAGTACCCTTCTGCCTGCTTGGCACTGTCCCTTCCCCCCAGGGCCTCTGTGTCTCTAGCATCACTGTCAATTTACTTGCTACCTAAGGGGGTGCCCCTGCTGAGGAGCCTAGGCCCTCTCATCTACTGGAGGCAAGAGGTGGCTAAACCCTAGGTGGGCAGGCTGGTGTGAGGGAAGGTCAGGATCCGGTCTTTGCCCAGGGTTTGCCAAGATGCTAGTGGTCTAGACTGGGGGACCCCAAGATCCCATTTCTCCAGGGTAGCATTCAGCCTAGGCAGATTGCAAGCTGTCCTCCCTCAGTGGGCAGAGGACACAGAGCCTGCCCTCTCAGTTCAAGGGGGCTGTGTGATCGTGGGCTTCAAGGGCAGGGGCGAGATTGTCTCTAGGAAGCTGGCCCCAGGTGATGCTCTGGGCAGCTGGAGTGACAAGAAGGGTTATAAAATGGTACTTCCTCAGCATATGCTTCTGGCCAATGTTTCTGGAATGAGAGATTAGGAAAGCAACAGGCTAGGGCCTCTGGAATTGAGGGCAGGTCTGGGAGGTACTCTTTGATACCCCGGGAGGAGTTGCAGGACAGGGAAAATAATTCCCTAGCCAGTACATGTCTCCTTGTCTCTGGATAGTGCTCCAGTCAGAGCTCTGGGAACCCAGGAACCTCTTCTTGATGCTGTCTGGCTGGCAGTGTGGAGCCTGGGGCCCACAATGTGGCTTTCACTTCATTGTCTCGTGTAGGGGTGGTGGCCTTTGGGGGAGGCCACTGCACAGTGTTGAGGTGGGCTTTGCGCCAGTTTCTCCTTGAGCAAGCCAAGGTCAGCTGACCTACAAACTCCCAGAAAGCTCCAGCTTTGACCTGGGCGAGTGACAGCATCCTGGCTGGGGTCAACTGACATCAAGGCCAGGGGTTCCTGGTGGTCAGATCTCTTGGATACAGGGTGGCCCCCAGTGGGTGGGGACTGAACTGTGAGGCCGTTGGGTGTGGAGTGACCAGGGTGGGCCATGGTTGGAAGAGGCCTGTGGGAAGCTGGGGCGGCAGGAGCCAAGCAGCCGGGCTGAGCTGGCAGCTGATGAAGGCCTCAGCGCAGTTCTCTGTATCACTGGCTGGTCTAACACCAAAACCTTCAAAGCATTTGCCTTTCTGGCAGGGCTTGGAGCAGAGCTGTGGCTGGGTCTGGGAGAGGCCTCAGTGCACAGGGGAATAGAAGCTCCAGATCTGCATCCAGAGGCGATTTTCCCAGGCTCCTTCCTCCCACACAGCGGCTCCCTCCCTTGGTTCTGGAGCTGGATCAGGCCCTTCCAGCCAAGTACTCATGGCTGCACAAGTCGGCCCCAGGCTGGACTGCTCCCGTCTGGGGAGCAAAAACCAGGGCAGAACCCAGGATAGACAAAGGCCCATCAACTGCAGCCTAAGTCCCCTCCCACCAAGGATGGCTTGTCTACCAGCTGCCAGAAAGGGCTGTTGAGCTGGGAGGCCTGAAACAGCCCAACTTCTTTGTAAGTCCCTAGTCTGGTCTAACTCATCCCAGAGCAGAGGCTGGGACTGGGGAAGAGTGCACAAAATCACTAGTGGAGCAAACTACACTAGACCTGAAGGTCACTGAAGGTGACTACCTGAGTAGAGGGCGAGGAAGCCCCCAGAAAGTCTCCCCTAGCCTGGCCCCAACTCCCTCTGCCTGTGGCTTCAGCTTCCTCCCCCACTCAGCCTTTAACTAGACTTGCTGACAGGAACAAAACAGATTGGATTGAGTCTCACCTCTTTTCATTTCCTTTGCCCTCCCTCTGGAAGTGGCTTTAATGAGCAGTGAAATGGCTAAAAAGCAATCAGGAGGAGTAAGTGCACGGATAATTAAATTGTCTTCCCTTCCCCCTGTGGAAACTTAGCACCTGAGCCAAGGAGCTGAGGGCCTCTGCAGCACCCATGCCTCACCTTCTGCCCACCTACTCCCCAGGGTCCTGGAGCATCCAGATGGAACGCGGCAATGCCCTGGTGGTGCTGCGCAGCCTGCTTTGGCCAGGCCTCACCTTCTACCACGCTCCCCGCACTAAGAACTGTGGCTACATCTACGTGGGCACTGGTGAGAAGAACATAGACCTGCCCTTCATGCTGTAGGAGGGCGCCAGCCTGGGATTTTTAATGCAGCATGTAATCATTATTTCTATAAATTTTAGTGAGTTTAGTCTGTTTGTTCTGTCCTTCCTCTCATTTCCACCTCCATCTGGTACCAGACTCAGAGACCAACTGAGCTGAGGAATGTGCTAACTAGAGAGATAATGGAGGGTAAAATGGCTAGAGGTGACAGGCGGGAGCTCTTGGAGGAAGGCAGCTTCTTGGTGTTAGATGAGAGCTGCACACACACACCAGATGGCCCTATCACCTCCTCCTTGCAGCCCCCCCAGGCTGAAGAGTTAACAGCTGTCAAGAAACAGGCTGGGAACCTGTTTGGTCAACAACTCCCTTTGGTTGTATTCATGTGGCCCATCACAAGAAATTAGTGACTCAATGCTAGTAATTGGTCAGAAACCACCCTAACCCCCCCCCCCCCCCACCGCCCCGCTCCTTCCCCGGCACTTCCCAAGCAGTGAGCACACACCCCGTGGGGAAGCACATGTGCCTGATTTATGACACTCCTTTGGGCAAAATTGTCCTCCAACCCAAGCCAGTCACGAGATCACGGCAGCTGCCAAAGAGCCAAGTGCCCTCCCTGCCCTTAGCTCCCAGCTCTGTTGCTGGGCAGGCTCTGGAGTTGGTCCTGCAGTCCTTCCTGCTGCTCATGCTGGAAGCGCGGGGCCACCCTGGTGGGACAGATGGGGCTGAACTGTGGCCCAGGGCTCGGCAGCAGGATCAGGTCTGGCCAGGCTGTCAGGAAGCCCTCAGTCAATGATACAGCGCCAGAGGTCTTCCTGAGTAGGAGACGTTGTCTTTGAGGAGGGGTGACCCCACAGCCATGCGCACCTTGTTCCAGCGGTGGCCTTTATTGTAGATGGGCTTGACAGAGCGGGGAGACCAGCGGGTCAGGTACCTGTAGAGGGAGGGCTGGGGTTAGTGGAGCTGGGAGAGTGGGCAGGGCCCTCTGCAGTCAAACCCGAGGCTGGATGACCGAAGAACCCTTTCACCAGTTTTTCTTTCCCAAGGACTAGGGGTTTTTCCTGGAAGCAAAGCGGAGTGTGCTGTAAACAGACAGGCTGGGTTCTTGCTGCCGCAAGCCCGTGTGTACGCGCATGTGTGCCCAGGGTCAGGCAGCCCAGGGCCACGCGCTCCCTTGATCTTTCTGATTGGTCAATGTTTGTGTGTATTTGCTGGGAGAGGCGGCGGGGAAAGGAAGGCTGATGTCAGGGCCCAGAGGAATCCTCCCCTCTTTCCCACTTGGCTCCCTCTGCTACCCAGCCTCCAGGGCGCTCCCTGGGACAGCCTAACTGGTGCAGGACCCCGGCCATTCACCCAACCCATGATGGGAGTCAAGGGTGAAGGCCCATGGGTGCAGACCTAGCCCAGGAAGGTTCCTGTAAGTAGGAGAGGGGTGGGGGAAGATGGCTGCCGCCCACAGTCCTTTAGCCTCCTTTGGGGATGGCGAGGGCCTTGATAGTTCCCGGAAAAGTGGCTCATGCCGGCTGGGATTGGGGTTTACTCCATCCAGAATGAAACTTGGATTTTGTCCAGAGAGGCCCACCCTTAGTCGTGAAAGCTCAGCCGCGGCAAAGGCCAGGATCCTCCCCGCTTCCACTTGAGGTTGGGGCTCAACCCAGCCATCTCCAGAGACACTCAAATGAGGGACTTTTCAATTAAAAAGTATTAATCACCCCGGCTGAAAAAATGCTAAAAGTGAAAAAATGAGTGCGGATTTATACTTTTCGACTGAGTGTCCCTGGACTTTGTCCTTCTGTTTTCAGTTCAGTGCAAACAGGGTAGCTTTGACAGGAAGTCAGAAACTGCAGGAGCGGCTGGCCCACCAGGCAGGGGATGGCTGGCAATTCAAAGCGCCCCACGGGGAGACTGCTGGCCCTAGGGACTCCTTTTTCTAGAGCTGGTGGTGTGCTGAACAGCAGATGAATAAAGGTGAAGGAAGGGAACACCTTGCAGGCCCCTTTGCTGGCATCTCCCAGAGAGTGTGAAGAGATGGGGGTGGGAGAGCAGGGTCCCCAAAAGGAATGCTCACAGGGATTTGAGGTTCCGAGATCCTGAGGGTGACAGGATTTTCCAGACCTGCTGCCTTAAAGCTCGTCCCTCTCCTGCTCTGCAAGGATCTGAGGGAAACTGTACTTCAGCTAGGCCTGGGCCTGATGCCTGTGTCACAAGGAGTAGCCAGCTGTTGGGGGAAAGTGGGACAGGGGACGTGGGGCCTGGGCATTGTCCAGTCAGCTTTCTGGGAGCACTCCAGCCCTAGGAAGAACCAAGGTCCCTTCCTAAAAGAGCCCTTTCCTACCTCCCCTGAAGGGGCAGAAGGAGGAACATGACTCCATGGGGTCCAGCAGAGTTTGGGCCAGTGAGTGGCACCTCAAGGACCGACCTCTGGATAGAATCATAAAGTCCCTGCAGGAGAATCAAACTCCCTCATAGCCAGGACTCCCATAACAACCCCTCCCCCCCAGGCTTTTGCAACCTAAGAGCTCCCACACGTCATCAATCCTGTGTCACGTAAAAGGACACCGGATATATGGGAGGAAGCCTGGCCTGGCTTCAAAGGCCTGAGGGCAGGATGGATTGTGTCCTCAGGCCTGCTACTGTCTCTCAACGTGTGGGGCGTGGGGGGGGGGGCAGGGGGGAGCAGGGGGAGGGGAGGCCCTCAACCCCCAAACAGTCCACAGCATATTTGGGAAAGACAGGAAGAGGTTAATATGATCTGTTTCTTCAGGGCTGCTGGCAAATGGCCCTGCTAGCAATGTGGGAGGTGCAGGTGGAGATGGGCACGAGGTCAGAGTGTAGGCTCCCCCCTGTACCTCTGAAACAGCAATTCAGAGGTGGTATCTGCTTGACCTCCCACCCTCCAGGGCTGGGTCCTGCTGGGGATCAGTCTGGAGATCTGTGGGGGGATGGGATGTCTTGCTTTGCTTCAATCACCTTTGGTCCCCTACAGAGAGCAGTTTCAGTGGCAGCTGGACAGGCCAAAGCAGGGAGGGACCGTTGATAGGGGAAAGCAAGAAGAAACACCAGAATCAATTTTATAGACCTCAACCTACTCTGCACAACAGGGTATATGGGTGTGATTATGTCGGAGAAGGAGGGAAAGGAACTCACAATAGGAAGGATGCTGGAATGGTAGAAGGAATCTGCTCTTACACCAGAGGGGGCCACCCTGCTTAGGATGAAATGAAGGTAGACTGATTAGATTCCAGATCTAAGGACCTTCCTCTACTCCTTTATGAAATAAAAGGTTGAAACCACCTTGGCCGCACGTGCCGCTGTGCAGGTTAACTGCACCATTTATAACCTACATGCACGCTGTCGTGAAGCTCTGCAGCACACAACTTGCACGGTTAGGTTCGGTGGCCCTTCCCCTGGTGAGTCCTCCCATTGCTAAGGCTTGATTTTGCCCTTTAATAACCCCAGTCCTGGGACAGTGAAAGTTTGCAGAAGTGGTCTGACATCCCAGCAATCCAGTATGATGTCATATACAGGGGATTAGCACATCCTCACGCCTAAGCAGCAGGCCTTCTTTCTCTCTTTGCCATTGTGCCCAGTGCCCTACTAGAGAGGGGAGAGCCTGAGGCCAGCAGGGGAGGGTGACAGAAGTGCCAATATCAAGGGCAGCTGTGTGGGCAGGACGGGGTGAGGGGAGTGAGTGTGTGCTCAAGCTGAAAGGGAATGGGCCAGCCAGCCAGAGAGTCGTCTAACTTTCCTGGGCTGTGGGCTGAGCTCCAGCAATGGTCTCCCCAGGGGACAGTGAGAGCCCAGGCCTGCAGAACACCCAAGATGCTGACACCCAAGTTAGCTTACCTGTTGAGTTTTGGTTTGCTCTTCGGAACGAATCCTTCAGGAAGCCGAGGCCTGTGATTTGGGAACAGACCTGAGTGGAGAGGAGTGCCTATAAGGTGTGGTCTCTGCAGTGACCAGAGGGAAAGCCCATCGGGGTGGAAGGCTAGCACTGGGAGTGAGGATAACGAGGCCTCGGATGTCTATTTCCCTGCCAGGAGGGATAGGGACGTGGGGCTTGTGCGCCTTCTACCTGCTCGGTGGGCCATCTTCACACATTCCTCAATCTTGCGGTGCTCTTCTAGGCACAAGCCTGTGACCTTTCGGGGCAGCATGCCTCCGTGAGGCCGGATGAACTGACTGAGCAGCAGAACATCCTAGTAGAAATGGAAAACAGGAGATGAGAGTCACTTGGGTGGGTGTTTGATGCTCGGCAGTCGGGGTCTCCGGGGGGGGCTATTGTACTGGGGCACTCCCAAGAGGGGGCTGACCTGAGCCCACAGCCTCCACACTCCCAGCTGCCTACACTGGCCTGCCACCCTCAACTAAAGTTAATTCCCAACCCCGAGAGTTCTGAGCTCCTCCCAGAGATCACCTTTTGAGTAGCTTAGAGACTACAAGCTCCTTCAGAAGTGTTAACAATCTTTCCTGCACCTACAGGCTCTTTCCTGTGATGGTTTGTTATCTACCTCGGGTGAGGCAGGGGAGGTGTCATGGAGTCCCTCACAAGAGGGAAACGCCGCACCACTTCTGTCCCGTGCCTACATACAAGCGGCCGGCAGAACTCAGGCAGACAGCCCTCCGCCGCTGCCATTCCCTCTGAAGCGCTAGGAGACGTACAAGCTGAGGAGGAAGGGACCGGGGTTGTGGATTAATCTCACATCTTCTAAGCCTCCTGTGACCAGATGTGAATGCATTCTCAGGCTTCCTTTGGACTTAAGATTGCTTTGGATGAGTCAAGGAAACAAGAATAAACAGCAGCAGAATCAAGACAAGCGGCATCCCTCCCCCCCGCAAGTCTCATAGGATGGCTGGGGGGTTAACTAAAAGCCACCGCCCCCCCATCCTGCAGATCTGGCATGCCAGTCTTCGCAGTCATGTTCCACAAACCGATCGCTGCCCTGGCAGGCGCCTCGCTGTATAACCGCAGATTTGTTTTAATCACTGGACAGCTCCTGAGGGACCCAAGCCCCCAATTCCCACCCCTGTAATCTTCAGAATCTGATGAAAAGAACTTGGATTGGATTATCCAGGGCTAATAAACTGGCTCATAGCCCAAGCCCCCCCACTGCAGGCTGCCAAGCAAGCTGACAACGTTGTGCAGCTCAACCTAACAACAGTGTCCTGAGTGGGAAAGGGTAAAAAGGAAAACAACTTTAGCCTTTACTTCGGAGGGGATAGGATTTCTTCTGCTGGATAAACAGAGCCCAGTCCATTTCCTGGAAATGGCTGGTAGGAAGAGTTCCCAGGGAGGTCAGGCAGTGTGGCGTTCGCCTCCCCGCCTGCAGCTGGGATTCCAAGTATGCCCGTGACTTCACTAACTTCCATGTCACAAGAAGCTGCGAACACTGCCCCTTGGCCTGCAAGCTTCCCATTACTCCCCTTCTGCCATCAGCAGGAGGCCAGGACTAGGGGGAGAGAATGCCCCCTCGGGTGGCCTGAAGCCAAAGTTACCCATCCAGGAGATTAGTTGGGTCATTTTGCTCAGCCCCCATGGGCATGTGGCTTCTCCTACTCTACCACCTGACCGGGATCTCTGCCCTTAGTCATCCCATTCCACAGAGGCACAGGGACAACTTGCAGGTCAAACTGGCCCAGAGCCGTAATCACCTGAAGCCTACAAATAGGACACTTAATGAAACGAATGGAACTCTGAAGGACAAGTGTAGATTTCTCCAGGGCTGTGTCCTTTTCCCCAGGCTCACGCCTTCCCATTTCTAGAGAGGATGCAGATTAGTGGTTGGGATTGCGAGTTCTCCCTGGGTTTTGTATCCTGGCTCTGACACTTTCTAGCTGGTGATCTCAGACAAGTTCATTCACTTATTCATGCCTCAAATTTTCTCATCTGTTAAACGAGGATGAAAAAAGTGCCTAGATCACGGGGATATCAAAAAACTAAGTAGATTAAGACAAGAAGATGCTTAACACAGTGTCTGACAAGAGCATGCACTCAACGCACATGCTATATTATTATTATTATGCACAGTTTTCTTTCTGTGGAACCAATCATTTTAAGAGCTGGAGCAAACAGGGTTTTTGTGGTTCCCAAACAGAAAGAGGCAGTGATGTGTCCCCAGAGTACAGAGAGAACTCTTCAAATGCATCCTTGTTATAAAAGATGGAAAGCCAAATCTACATCCCAATTCCACCCCTTTGGGAACACATTCCTGCACGACTGGGTGATTAAGTCCACGGGGAAGCTGACCATGAAGCTAAGTCAGTAACTCCCAACCCTGGCTGCACATCAGAATCACAGGGGAGCACCAGGGACTAGTGATGGCCAGGCCCACTCTGGACCAACAATTAGTTTGGGGGTGGCATCTGAGCAGTTTTTTAAAGCTCTCCTGTGAGCCAGGATTGTAGCCAGGGCTGAGAACCAGTGGACAAAATGCTTGTCTTTGATGACTCCATGAGATGCAGCAAAGGCTGCGGGGTAGGATGCAGCTTGAGCTAAGTGGGGAATCCAGAATCTCACAAACCCCCCTCGCAGAGCCACGCAACACTCAGTGCAGACTCACCTCATAGCTGTACTTGTGCTTCAGATTCCACCGGCAGATGGGGCACTGGCCAGAGGGGTTAGGAGGATTTGGACTCTCCTTGGGGGTCCCTGTGATACGGCCTTCAATCTGGGAGGCAGAGAAAAAAAGCCAGTGAGGGAGAGGGCTGCATTAAGCAACCCCCCCAAATAGTGGGGATGCTGGTAAAAGATCATCTCTGGGGATCTGTGGGAGTAGGTAGGTCTCTCCACAGAACTGTGGTGGTGGCTCTATGCTGCTGTATAGGGGGCTTGGAGTGGCTTTGGTGGCCTGCAAGGGGTTTGCTGTCTCAGCTGAATGCTACTTTTCCTTCCTCAAAAACATAGAAAACACCAGAATATTATGCTTCTCTTTTCTCCTTTTGGGAAAAAAGAAATAAATGCACATGGCAAGAAGCTTCAAACTGTGCAGGAAAGTAGAGTCCCATCCCACATATCTTTCCCAGAGGAGAGCGCAGTTTCCAGCTTTATCTTACAGAGGTGAGTCTATGCCAGAGATTCTAACCAGACATGGTTTTGCCCCCTACGGGACATTAGATAATAGTTCAGACATTTTTTGTTCCACTGGAATATGCAGTGCTACTAGTATCTAGTAGGGATACTGGTAACCAACCTGCAATGCACACACAGCCCCCACAACAAGGAATTATTTAGCCACAAATGCCAATTGTGCTGAGGCTGAGAAACCCTGGGCTTCTTTTCTTTTTCTTTTTTTAAAGGTTTATTTATTTATTTATACAAGCACTGGGTACAGTCAGAAGCACGGGAGGGTGAGAGAATTCACCAGAGCCAGAGTGGGGAGCAGAACAGGCAGACTGATAAAGTACACTGCTGAGGGGAGCAGCGGACGGCAGGAGAGGTCTGCGCACCATGTGGGACCTTCACTGGGTGGCTGGGGATCAAACCGGTGCTGCAGAGGCTGTGGGCAGCTTCGCAACCCAGTGCTCAACTGCCACCGGGGAGGCCTTAGGCGTCTTTTCTTATTAAAAAACATAGATGTGGGCCTCCCCTGGTGGCGCAGCGGTTGAGTGCTGGGTTGCGAGGCTGCCCGCAGCCTCTGCAGCACCGGTTCGATCACCGGCCGCTGGCGAGGGTCCCACATGGCACGACAGTCCCCTCCTGCCGCGCCCGCTGCTCCCCTCAGCAGTGTATTTCGTCAGTCTGCCTTTTCTGTTTCCCACTCTGGCTCTGGTGAATTCTCTCACCCTCCCGCGCTTCTGACTGTACCCAGTGCTTGTATAAATAAATAAATCTTTAAAAAACAAAAACAAAAACATAGATGCGGGGCCTCCCTGGTGCTGCAAGGGGTTAAGTCTCAGCATTATGAAGCTATCAGCAGCCACTGCAGCACGAGTACGGGAACTACCCTCAAAGTGCAGCAGACCTCTCCTGTCTTGCCTGCTACTCCCCTCAGCAGTGTATTTCAGTCATTCCACCTGTTCTGCTCCCCACTCTGTCTCTGGTAAATCCTCTCACAGCCCCACCCCTCCCCGCTGCACCTCTGACCTACACCTCAGCTCTTGTATGCATAAATAAAATAAATCTTCAAACAAAAAAAACCATAGATGCGAGCATACATATCCTTTTCCTCCTTGCTTTTATCATTTTGGATTCCACCTCTCAAACCCTGCTGAGGCCACGTGTGACATGACCTCTATCATCACTGCTGGATCCTGTGACACTGCCTTGGAATTAATAAGTGCAATAAACCAATGATCTGGGAATCAGCTCTGACTGCAAGAAAGCTTTGCTGACTGAGGCCATGGATTATGAGAGTGAAGTTGGGACAGGTCTGCGAGGCTTTAGGAGGGAAGCAATAGTGTCTCCTGGGGGAGAACTGGCAAAAGGACATGGGAGGCTGCAAGCAACACTTGGCTATGCAGGGCTCTGCTACCTACCTTTCTGCCAAGGCCACCGAAACTACACCAGAAATGGAAAATGTGTAGTTGTGTGTGGAGGGGCTTGGAGGGAGGTGGGGGAAATGGGGGAGGTGTTAAGAGGTTTCTGGGGTAGAGAGTCAACATTTAAATTGACTCCCAGTTATACTCCTGGCTCGTGTCATCTCATTTAACCCTCACAACCTAGTGAGAGAAGCACAATGATCTTATTTTATAGAGGAAGAAATACCTAATGCCAGTCACTGCAGCACCTCTCCAGATATGGGTGGGCTCTCTACTCTAAAGGCTCTCACAGTGCAAAGTGTCTGCGTGTTCATTCTACAAAGAGCACCCCCCCCTAACCTGGAAAAACAAATGCGCTGCACTCAAAAGCCAGATGTGTTCTCTCCTCCTGCATGGAATTTATAGGGTGAATGCTTGTTTCGGCTTTGGATACGGGAGACAAAAAGGGTGCCCTAAGGGGATGGAGGTTCACTACAAAGAGGGAGGCTAAGCAGTGAAAAGGCTGAGGGAATACTCGGGGGAAGACCCAAAGAGGGAACCCTTATGGGCTGATCCTGGGGAGGACCAAGCTTGGCTGGCTGCCAGAGGGTTAAATCCCTGCTGACATGGAAGCTTCCGGGAGTTCCCTGGAGTTGAATATTTCTTGGAGGCCTGGAAGGCCATGTGAAAATAGCGTTGTGCTTTAGGGATTAGAGGATAATCTAGGCCCCATGACTCCCCGAGGAAGGGAGGTGCGGTGTGCCCAATGAGGGAAAGGGGGGGAGTAGGTGGATGAAGAATTATTAGTTTTCTCATCAACAGACAAGCCAGGGCACCAGCTAGTGAGTCCAGGAAGAGTGTCGCCTTTTAAATGTATCATTTAAGGAGTAACTTAGTCATTCTAGGCAGAAAGAGACAGAACTGAGATCTGGGCTTCTGACCCCAGGGCCACTTACCCTGGCTCTCTAATCACTGCCTTAGTTTCCCCTGGGAAACAGATGCATTACTTGGCAAAGAATATGTCAGCAAAGACCTCTGAGACCTTGTCATACACAAGGCCACTTTAATCAAGCGACAGATGCCTCAGTCCAGGCACACAACTATTTCTGATTAACCACACTACAGTACAGAGCTTGAAAAATAGTAGACTGTGGGATTTATGGTCACAGAGGGAGCTGATCCTGGAGCTAGGAGTCCAGTTTGGGCCTTCTTCCGAGGAGCAGCCAGGCAGTTCCAAGCGTTAAAGAGGTTGTAAGCCAGCGCAATGATACTTACTATAGTTGTCTTCCCTTCTTGGATCTCCACCACTGTAGATAAAGGGAAAAAATTAGGTCAGCCATTTAATAAGGAACAGGGAGTTTCAAGTAACAGCTCCACTTCTAGACAAGCAGAAAAATGGAGCCTTTGGTCTGCACTCTCCCACGGGCCCCATCTGGAAGAGAAAGCATGCAGGGTTCACCTCTGAGTACGGGGCTCTGTGCCCTTGAGGCTGGGTGGAGGTAAACCCAGATGCCCAAATAATATCATCTTCCTGGGATTAAGGGCTCCTACACGGTTTCTGCCATTCTTTTTTTTTTTTTTTTTTTTTAAAGATTTATTTATTTATGCATACAAGAACAGGGTACAGGGCCTCCCAGGTGGCGCAGCGGTTGAGCGCTGGGTTGCGAAGCTGCCTGCGGCCTCTGCGGTGCCGGTTCAATCCCCGGCTGCTCCCCGGCCACCTGAGGAGGGTCCCACATGGCGCGCAGACCTCTCCTGCCGCCCGCTGCTCCCCTCAGCAGTGTACTTCGGTCCTTCTGCCTTCTCTGCTCCCCACTCTGGCTCTGGTGAATTCTCTCACCCTCCCGCGCTTCTGACTGTACCCAGTGCATGTATAAACAAACAAAGAAACAAACAAATAAATAAATAAAACATGCCTCTATAAAAAAATTAAAAAAAAAAAACAGGGTACAGGCCAGAGGTTTGGGGGGCAAGAAGATTCACCATAGACAGAGTGGGAAGCAGAACAGTGGGATCTACTGAAATACACTGCTGAGGGGAGCAGCGGGTGAGACAGGAGAGGTCTGCTGTGCCATGTGGGTCACCTTCCTGGCCGGGTATTGAACTCATGCTGCAGTGGCTGTGGGAGAGCTTCATAGTGCTGCGTCTTAACCCCTTGCGCCACCACGGAGGCCCCTGTTTTGGCCATTCTAAACCAAGATTCATCTTGGTTCTGTCCAAGGAAATTGGCAAAATCCTGCCTTACTGTGGCTAGCAATAATGACCTAAGAGTTGAGGGGCAGCAGCATTTCAAAAACCTTCAAAAGTATCTACTACACATGTTCTTTGAGGAAAAGAATCAGACAAACATGGCTTCTGACCTGGAAGAATTAGCAATCTAAGATACAGCAGTGAACTAACACTGCTGCTGTTCTGTATTCTACCCTTACCCCCAAGGAATGAGACAGACTCGCTCACCCCTAAACTCAACCTGGAGCTTTGTGTTAAATCTGCACAAGAAGGAATGGAAGAGTTAAATCCTCTTCTTCACTCCTCTTCCTGCAGGGTTACATGGTGTTACCTACATGGGGGGAGGGGCTGGAGGAGGTGAAAAGTAGGGGCCTGCAGTCACTGGGTTCAGGCAGAGCTTCAAGGACAGTCCTGCAGTTCTGCCTGTATAGGTTGCAATCGTCAGAAGAGAACTTGAGGACAAGAAAATAAGCCTCACATCTGTCAGGCATACAGATTTCCTATCTTAACCAGGATGCAGAACCACCACAACATTCAAAGGGAAAAAAAACAAAAACAAATGAAAAGTCCACAATGGCAAATATAATTAAATAGAAAGTTCCTGGAGATTCTCCTTTGTCCTCAAAAGTTTCTTTAGAGAGAAACCACAGTTCTGAGTATAGGAACTGATATCCTGCAGATGCTCAATAAATACCAGCAAGTATTCAGAGAGCAAATATATTTGTCACAGCCCCCTTCTGACCGCTAATTACTGTAATAGAAAATTTGGGACCACATAGGCTAAAAATTATCTCACAAAATACTAAAAACATATTTTAACAAGAGTGTGGCTACCAAACTTCAGCTCTATTCAGCTCCATTCAAGACAAGGGGTAGCACCGAACTAGAAAGAGTCTATGTTTCTTAACTTTGAGAACCTAGTGAACGTTATGGACTTCTCCTTAGGAGCATGTCCACAAACAGCCACACAACTAGATGTGTTTCAGGAGGCCCACAGCCCTGAGTCCACACACTCAATTGATGACATTGGTTTTTTTTTTCAGTGGTAGGAGGTGATTTCACTTTCTTCTTTATGTCTATCTGTATTTTCTAAAGTTTCTAAAATGAACATGCACTGCTCTTGTGATAAAAAATAAACAATAGAAAGGGAGAAGGTCTAAAGAACAATGTGAGGCGATTCGAGCACGACCAGAGGCCCATGGCAGCATCTGTGCTCACTGAGCTCTGTGACCAACACCTAATTGGACACAGACTGCCTGGAATTGTTCCCTGTTTGTTTTCTGGGTAAGGCCATTCATAAAGACTCATTACTCCAAAACAACCAACCTGTGAGCCCCTCAATGTCCAACTCCAGACACACAAAGGAATAACAATGGCCAGAAAGGCCCTGAGGCTTTCTCCAGAGAACACTGTAGTCACTAATCAATTCAGACAAACTAGGTTTCTCCCAGTAAAAGAAAATGCGTCACCCCACACACGGATCCACTTGTACAGAACAGAGCCCAGCCCAAATGGGATGTGGGTGAGACTTACTTAACCTGGTGCTCAGTCTGGAGGCCAGCACAGCTGCAGGGGGGGATAGTCACTGCACTGTGTCAACATAAAAATGTGGGGGAGCAGGGCATAGCCCAGCAGGGCTTCCAGAAGCCCGGGAGGCTTTGAAATTTTACAAAAACCAAGCTGGGAGAGGGACTGAGTGAGGGCAACCAAAACCAAATCTGAGCAACAGGTGGGAGGGGTTGGGGGTGGGAAAGTTCTCAAGACTCCTGAGAGGAAATAAAAGGAAACACACATTCTGGTACCACTCAAGTCAGCAGGAGAACAATGTCCTGAAATACACAGTGGATAAACATGTGGTTCCCCTCTTGGTGGAGGCACTTAGGTCCTAACCATGAGGTAAACAAGTCTAACAAACACACATCACTACAGGCAAAGAACCAAACCCTGAAGTCATCCCACTGGCCCCTGGAATAGAGATCAAAGCCCGTGGCAAGCTCCACTGTTCACAAGCTCCCCACACAGCAACTCTGAGCCAGTGAATCATCTTACGATGAGCCAGTGGGTAAAACAATAGGCAGATGCTTATCTAATAGAGACAATTTGTCAAACCAGAAGGAATGACCTGGGAACTCAAAGGAGATGGAGACTGATCAGGGCGGTGTCTTAGTGCAGGGGCAGTAGGCCCGGTTGGAGCCTGACAAGGCCCCAGTTGATTTTAAGCCTCTGAAAACAGGAGATAGGAATCAAAATAGTATTGATTTTCAGTGTGCATACAAAAACATGTCAAAACCAAACAAAACTCGAGCTCCATTTTATCCCTCCATTCAAGAGACGTGGGGGTGGCTAAGAAAAGCTGGACTAGAGTTTTAGGCACTAACAAAATTGTTTAGAAAAAGATGGAATCAGCCTTGTGTTCAGAGATAGGGCTGTATCATGCAAACTAAGGCTACGAAGCAGTTTTCTAAACTAAACTAGAATCAAGGGCCAACATCTTTTCAGATAGGCATTTCTGACACATGAAATAATCAGCCCCACATGAGACAACACATTTGACGAGCACCTGTGGCGTGTACAGTCCCGCTCTACCTACTGTGACAAGTTAAACAGATGAGGAACAGAGTCTTTGCCCTGGAGGAAGAAAGGGAACTAAATCAATATGGGAACTTCACTATAATAGAGTCCATGCCTTGTAAAGAGGTCCTTTGAGTAAGTACTTCGTTAAATACTTGCCTAGGATGCAGTCCAAGACAATTGAAGTATAACAGTCTACAGCAAACAGCATTGCACTGTGATGAGATTGCAGTGAACCCAGAAAACAAACACCCCCCCCCAAAAAAAAAAACCCAACAAAAACAACCTTGATGGCCACAAAAATACAGACACAGTGAGCTACAGCAGTATAAAGACCTAACTGTTCAGTAAAGGAGGAAGTGAGGGAGATCAAAGATGAGGAGTGGAGGGAGCTGCCACAGGAAGTACTTAGCGACCAAGGTCCTTGTTGGACAGGATCCTTGGAAACCGAGTCCTAAGAAGGAGGGGAGGAACTGAATGGCAAGACAGCCAGAAGGTGGCACTGACAGTCTGGTGTGGAGCCTGGGAACGGAGTGTGTGCTTGGGACGTGTGCGTGTCCTTTCCTTCTGTTGATTTTTTTTTTTAAAGATTTATTTTTATTTATTTATACAAGCACTGGGTACAGTCAGAAGCGCGGCAGGAGAGGTCTGTGTGCCATGTGGGACCCTCCTCTGGGGCCGGGGAGCAGCTGGGGATCGAACTGGCGCTGCAGAGGCTGCGGGCAGCTTCGCAACCCAGCACTCAATTGCTGCGTCACCGGGGAGGCCCCCTTCTGTTGATCTTTAATTCTACCATTGAAGTTTTCTGATTCTCCTACCATCTCTCCTTTCCTCCAGGACCCATGAGGGACTGTCCCTCTGTATTAAGATTCAGAATGAGGAGTCTTTTTTTTTTTTTAAGATTTATTTATGCATACAAGAACTGGGGTTTAGGCCAGAGGTACAAGAGGTAAGAGGATTTGCCAGAGAGTGAGTGGGGAGCAAAACAGGCAGACTGACTGAAATAAACTGCTCAGGGGAGCAGTGGGTGAGACAGGAGCGTTCTGCTGCCCCATGTGGGTAGCTCCCTGGCAGGGGATCGAACTCATGCTGCAGTGGCTGCCGAAAGCTTGATAGCAGTGTGTCTTTAACCCCTGCGCCACCAGGGAGACCCCAGAATGAGAAGTCCTATTGCTGCACAAAATCTCTTTCTACAGGACTATGTTCTGTGAATTCTTTAAAACTCCCAATGTACCAACTCCTCTCTCAAAGCTTTTAGCTAGAGGGCTGTCCATCCTGCCAGGCACATCCTTATCTGACATGCTAGGGCTTCCAAAAAGCCCCTTAGCTTTCTAGAAGAGATGAAAATTTCCCTTTGCCTTTATTCATCTCAGCACCCTCTACTCGAAGTATCAGAAAGCTCTTCACTGTTAATTCAGATAATCATATGTGTTTATTTTTTCTTGTTTTAAATGTATTTTTTCTTCACAAGGGTTCTAAGAATAAGGCAGGAACAAGGGCTAATGCCATCTTTGTTAAATCTGGCAGTGTCAGGCAAAAGGCGCTAAATGGTCTTTGGCAAGTTAACTGAGGAAAGCTTAGAGGGAAGGATGGGAGCCTCCATGGAGTACCAAGGTGATGCGACTGGTGGAGCTGGAAGAGTGCCGGCTCTACTTGCAACGGCACCACTTCATAGCTGTGTGATTCTGGGCAGTTACTGAACCCCTCTGGACCAGATTTCCTCATTTGCAAATAATGTCAGTAATAGCTGACACCCTTTAGGATTGGTGAGAAGACTGAATAAATGTGGAAAACCTGGCATAGTGCTTTCAGCAGCCACTCAGTAAGCCACAATTTCCATTTTGTTTTCCTTCAGTCGTGCTTCTTCCATTACACTCTATATTGACTTTGTGTGTCCCTCTTATCAAACTTGAGATCAGGGTTTCTCAGCTGAAATTTTGGGCCAGGTGGTTCATTGTTGTCCTGTGCACTGTAAGATGCTAGCAGCATCCCAGACCTCTACCCAACAGATGCCAGGAAGACCAGGTGTAACCACCAAAAATGCTTCCAGACATTGTCAAAAGTTCTCAGGGGGACAAAACTGCCCCCAATGGAGAGGCACTGACTGAGAGTCTCTACAGGTAGGAACCCTAGTGCTGAGTCCTCATGAAATTACTAACATCCGATATCTGAAAAGATGCTTGAATATTTTCAGCTTCCTCCTCACAACTTTAAATTCTGTGAACAATATTATCTGGGAGTCAAAAGTCTCAGCTGGGACCAATCAAAACTAGCTATATATGTAATACTTTATGTCTTATACATGGGGAGAATACCACGAAAGTTTTTTCATTGCAATGTTTTGGAGACAGGTGGTTCTCAAGAATACAGCATATGATATTGCCTTCATATAAGATCACATAAATTCAATTACTTAGCTTTTAGGTCTGACAGTGAGTAATATGGAAGAGTTACCAACCCAAGTATTTATGAAGAAGAGGAGTTCAGAGACCCAGCTGATTATACAGTTAGTCATTTCACAAACTCTCCAACTAAAAAAATTCAAATCCTGGGGCCTCCCTGGTGGCGCAAGGGGTTAAGACACAACCTATGAAGCTGTCCGCAGCCACTGCAGCACGAGTTTGACCCTCGGTCAGCCAGGGAGCTACCCACATGGCGCAGCAGACCTCTCCTAACTCGCCTGCTGCTCCCCTCAGCAGTGTATTTCAGTCAATCTGCCTGTTCTGTTCCCCACGCTGTCTCTGGTGAATCCTCTCACCCCCCACACCCCTGGCCTGTACCCCAGTTCTTGTATACATAAATAAATCAATCTTAAAAAAAATTCAAATCCTAAATACTCCCTTGTAAAAGAAAAAAAAAAACAAACTATTCCTTTTGCTTCTCTTCTAGGAATGTAGCAAAGAACTGTTTTCAATTTTGAATTTCATAAAGATATGTAAATTCAGCTGTTAGTATTTACATGGTAAATGCTACTTGGTAAACATCCTCAAAAATGTGGGCATATGCTTATTTTGCAGTGTGGGAATAGATGAAAAATTTTATCTAAGTCCTATTATCATATGATCTTTTTGGTATCTGTTTTTATTTATGAATTGGTTTATCTAGTGATAATCAGTATCTGGATTTTGTTGTTCTTTCTAGCAAGGTTTCTATTTTCCCTTCATAGCTAAATTCTTTAAACATACCTGCTATTTTTGTTTCTTTATGAACTATCTCTTTGATATCCCCAAATGAGGTTCCCTGTCTGTCATTCTACTGACATTGCTGTTTGAAGTCTTAAACAAACCAAAAAATAGCTCCCCTAAGACAGAGCCTCTTTATGCTAGATAAAGAACATGCTGGTTAATATCATGCCAAATCTTAAAAAAAAAAAAAAAAATCACTTCTTTTGCACATCATTTATTCTTTCCTACTTGCAGCAGTGCACTAAGGAAGGACGTGTCCTAAAAAACCTTTTACTTCCCACGAGATTTTATCCTGTTATAAGCCTATTCAAAACACCTGCCCCTTATACTGTTCCCAGTACTGGAATTTCCCTGTATTTTGTCATGTTAATATCTAACTTGTATTTATTGGCGTATATATGTATCATCTCATTAAAACATACTCTCTTAGAAAAAGGGTTGTATCTTCTCTTTCTGAAGAATCTGACAATTTGGAGTACTGCATTTAGCTTTCCATATGCTCTCAGTTGATGCTACCTTTCCAGACTTCAGAGTAATGAAAAGCAGAACCAACCTCCAGCATGTACCTGTTTCACCTGTTCAGTGGCCTTTCCATTTTCCATTTTAGCTTCCAGCTCTTAGGGAGATTAGTAGCCCAGGCAGAAAAATCGGCCATGAGATCACAGCATTTTCTGATGAGTAACTTAAAAGGGTGGCCCTGGGGAGGGTATCCAAATGGCCTTCCCTAAGTCCCAGGATTCTTTAATGAAGGAGGGGGAAGTTCGGAGAATACGTAAAGGAGAATTAACATGCAGACCCTTACCAAAAATTTTTCGGAAGCCCGGAGCAGGTTTCTCTTCGGCTCCAGCTAACCATGCAGGTCCCTCTATCCGTCCTCTCCCCAGCCTCTCGCCCCCACTAGTGAGACCACTCCAGAGGGGAGTATCAAGACAACCGTATCATGGTCTGGGAGACTTTCAAGCACCGCTGGAGCGCGAGCATTTCCGTGGTTTCCGAACCGTGTGAAGAAAAGGGAGGGAGGGGCACACGGGGGCTGCAGAAAACAGTCGCCTCGCCGCTGTTCTTCTCTACCTGGGGAGGTCGCCAAGACCTCGGACTCACCTTCCCTGAACCCGCGTGTTGGAGGCCGAGCCCAGCTGGTCTTGGCCGGGCCAGCTAATAGCCCTCGTAACAGCCGCCCGCAAGAGGACACCAATATATTGAGCGCCGCCATCTTGAAAACCAACAGTGACCTCTTGTACACTTCCGCTTCCGGAACAGCGCGCGCGCAGTCGCAGTGGCGGGCAGGCACGGTGTGCGTTGTGGGCTTTAGCCCGTCACTCCCATCATTTTTCACCTCTCCGGTTTTGAGCTTAGCGGGCAGGCTTCCGTGTCAAGGGTGTGCTTCACCCAAGGGTCTAAGGGAGGACTTGTAGCTCCTGTTTGCCACTCTTCGCAGTCTCCAAGGTCGCTTTCGTTCCCTGGCTGGCTTCCTTGGTAAAATCACACATATGCTATTCTTTTTCTCTGTGTTTTATCACTGCAAGTCAGATGTGGACTTTCAGCTTCTCGAGATTGGACTGAGGCCTGTAAAGGAGAGATTGAAATGGTTAGTAACACTGGTTTTGGAGCATCAGGTATCAGGTGTCTCCCTGTCTTCCTTCCCCCGCCCCCTTTCTTTTTTGTATACTTAAAAGTTCCCTTTGGCCTGAGGTCTTTCCATAGCTCTTTCCTCTCACTGCCCTTTGACCACCTGGTTAATTCCCATTTATTTCTAAGGGCCCAGCTGATACTTCACTTCCACAGGGGAGACTTTTTTAACCTGGAGGTTACAGTTCTTAACACAGATAACGTTCCATTTTAGTACTTGGTAATAATTGCAGTTTTACATTTATTTGGATAGTATGTGTCTCCACCAGGTGTTACGCTCCAATAAGGCAGATATATTCTTTTTGTTGTTGTTGTTAGCTCTTGTATTTCCAGAACTTAGCACAGTGCCTTAAACATAATAAAGGTGCAATCAGTATACTCTTTTTTTTTATTTTAAAGATTTATTTATTTATGAATACAAGAACTGGGGTACTGGCCAGATGTGCGGAGGGTGAGAGGATTCGCAAGAGTGGGGAGCAGAACAGGCAGTCGGACTGAAATACACGGCTGAGGGGAACAGCAGGTGAGTCAGGAGAGGTCTGCTGTGCCATGTGGGTTGCTCCCTGGCTGGCCGGGGCATCGAACTGTGCTGCAGAGACTGCAGATTGCTTCATAGTGCGGTGCTTAACCACTTGTGCCACCAGGGAGGCCCCAATATACTTTAAAAAAAAAAAAAAAAGATTTATTTATTTATTTATACAAGCATTGGGTACAGTCAGATGCGCGGGAGGGTGAGAGAATTCACCAGAGCCAGAGTGGGGAACAGAACAGGCAGATGGACCGAAGTACACTGCTGAGGGGAGCAGCGGGCGGCAGGAGAGGTCTGTGCGCCATGTGGGACCCTCCTCCCGTGGCCGGGGAACAGCCGGGGATCGAACCGGCGCTGCAGAAGCTGCTGGCAGCTTCGCAACCCAGCGCTCAACCGCTGAGCCACTAGGGAGGCCCGGCCCCAATATACTCTTTTTGAGTGAATGAGTAGAACCTATTTTATAAGGTTGTGGTGAAGATAGGTGAGATGTCATAAGTGCTTAATAAATGTAAGTTAATTAATAGGGCAATTACCCTATGGCCTTTGTGCTAGGTGCTTTCCACAAGTTTGACATACTTGCCTAAGAAGACAACTTGTGTTACCAGGCACCCCCCCTCCACAACTTGCACTCTCCAAATGGGGTTCTGCCATCCACTGTATAAGGACAAAGACTCTTAGTGTAAAATAGCTTTAATGGAATTTGCATAGAGAGAAGCAAGGATAATAGTTTTTCTATAAAACACCCCAAATTACCCATCCCTTGGTGGGCAGATAGCTAGCCAGAGGTCTGAAAGCTTGCCACAGTGTAGGGCATCTTCTGGCAGGGAACCATAGGAGAGGTGTTCTGAAGCAGGTTTCAGAAAGCTGAAAAAATACCACATCAATGTAATGGCTGCTCTTGTCAGACTCCCCACATGTCTCTCACCCATCTGTCTCTTTTAAGTGTCTATGTGACTCTCATCCAGGTGTCTCATGTCTTCTTCCCAGCAGTACCATGGTGCAAGCAGGCTTGCAGAAGCAAGAGCTCTCCTCTCTCCTTTTTCCTCAGCCCACCTGCCTTCTGTTCTATGGCTTCACCTGGCTGCTCAGCTTCAGCCCTGATTCCCAGGAGCTAGTCCAAGGGGGCTGCATGTAAATGGGGTTGGGGCACGTTGCACCTCCCCTTTTTATGGAGATATCTCTGTAACAATCATACTACCAAAGATAACACACTAGCCTAATTTTCCCTCTTTGGGATTTGTAAGACATACAGGGTGTTTCCCTGGAACAATGTAAGAAAGGAGAGTGATTCACAGCTCAGTTCTTCCAGTTGACAGGATATTCTTTGCCACCCTCCATAATAAATTTGACGAGGTATTTTCTAGCCATCCTACTCTGATTCATACGTGGAAAAATCCAATCCATTAAATGGCACAGCATGTTCCCTGTGAGGGGCTAGGGTATAGCCCATCTCCCAGTTGGGACTGCCACCCTGGTGGACTAGGAGGATGCAGAGTAACTGTTGCATGGGCGCTTGTGTCGCATCACCATAGAGGAGAGCAGGAGAAATGTGGCATCAAGCTACCTTAAAACTTTATATTCAACAAAGGTAGATCCTGGGAGGGAGAGACTTGAGAGAAGGATCAGTTCAGGTGGGTGATACCGACGCATTGGTTAGGAGTAGGGCAAAAATTTTGGTGTGGTGGAGGTTTAGGTGTCCTGACCAGGGCCAGGGAAGCCTTGGCTCTCTGTATTTTCCCTTTTTCTTCTGAGCAGGGGATCTTGAGCCTTTCTTGTACCACACCCCCTATTCTTTACAAGTTTCCAACTTCTGGGGATCCAGTGTGGGTCTGCTAGATTTAAGCGGCCTACTGGACTTAAGCAACCTGTTCAGCCACCATTATGGTTACCTGCAGTTCTGCATTCCTATACAAAGGTCAGAACTGTCCAGTCACAGTTATATGAGCCAAACTTTACAAGGTGCCTTTCATACCAATCAACAGCAGAAAGCTTGATCACCTGGGAAGGGTATGCCTCAAGAGGTATGACCGGGAACACCCGGGGGACTGGGGTACAAGAACTGGGGTTATGCATATGCATTTTATGACGGATGCATAAAATTACTCCCGACTCATACATCATGAAGTATGACCGGGAATGCCCAGGTGGCCAAGGACCGATGTATGACAAGGGACCCCAGAAGCTGATCAGTGGAATGCCTTGATGATAAGATTAGGACCATGGCCAGGGATCTGGAGTCCTGTTTCAATTACAACACTTGGTCATCAAGCTGATAACATGGTCAGCAGACTCGTGTCCCCCCGAGCCCTAGATGACATTCCTGAATTTCACCCATCCTGTCTCCTTGTCCTCCTAACCCATGTAGCTGATGCTCTGTGATTATGCTATTAATAAAAAATGGCCAGGATCTTGCTCTCAGCAGCATCCTGCACTATGTAGCCTGCTCCATGATTCTCGTGTCTTTGTCTGTGTGGTGTTGCCCGACGCAACAATCCAGTAACAATAAGGGAAGTAAGAGTCCCACTTGAGGGCTTATAATGAGCTGAAGTATTTGTGTGCCAATCCTCTCATTATCTTATCCTAACTAATATAATCAAATTTTATTTTGAAAGATGACTTGTATTTTCTGCAATGACAAGTTAACAAGTGAAACAAAGCAAAAAGAAAATAATCAGGGCCTCCCTGGTGGCACAGGGGTTAAAGACAGCACTATCAACTATCACCAGCCACTGCAGCACAAGTTCGATTCCCAGTCAGCCAGGGAGCAACCCACATGGTGCAGCAGACCTTTCCTGCTTCGTTCCCTGCTCCCCTCAGCAGTGTATTTCAGTAGATCTGCCTGTTCTGCTCCTCACACTGTCTCTGGTGAATCCTCTCACCTCCTGCACCTCTGGCTTACAACCCAGTTCTTATATGTATAAATAAATAAATCTTTAAAAAAAAAAAAAAGAACCATAACCCAGATTCAAACATTATTTACATTTAGCAGAATGAAGTAATAGTGTACATATTCTTTGTTTTGTAATATCTTATTTTTCTGAATCCATATATTATTGGTTTCTATATGAAAGGTAATTTTGTGAATAAAATTTTGCACAGGAAACTAGCCTTACATTTTTTTAATTAAAAATAACCTATATAATAAAGGGTACAAATTATCAGCATCTAGCTTGATGAATTTTCACAAAGGGAACATACTACCCACACTAACAGGAAGAACATTACCAGCACTCCATAACACCTTGCTGTCCCCTTCCAGACATACCCTGCCCCCAAGGTAATCATCCTGTCTTTTAGCACCGTCAATTATTTTTCCTGCATGTAAACTTTCTAACAGGGAATCTGATATAGCATGTGTTCTTTTGTCAGCTTTCATCTGCTCACCATGTTTTTTTTTTTAAAGATTTATTTATGCATACAAGAACTGGGATACAGGTTAGAGGTGTGGTGGGGTGAAAGGATTCACCAGAGACAGAGCGGGGAACAGAACAGACACACTGACTGAAATACACTGCTGAGGGGAGCAGCGGGTGAGTCAGGAGAGGTCTGCTGCACCATGTGGGTAGCTCCCTGGCTGGGGATCGAACTTACGCTGCAGTGGCTGCGAATAGCTTCATAGGTTGTGTCTTAACCCCTTGCGCCACCAGGGAGGCCCAGCACCGTCAATTGTTTTTCCTGCATGTAAACTTTATAACAGTGGAATCTGATAAAGCATGTGTTCTTTTGTCAGCTTTCATCTTCTCACCATGTTTGTGAAATTCACCCACATTGTTATATATAGGTGTCATCATTCATTCTCATTTCTGTACGATGTTCCACTGTGATTATAACACAACATGCTTATCCTTTTTTGCTGATGATAGGTTTGGGATCCTTTCCAGTGGGACTGTTACTCATGATGCTGAGGAGCATTCTCTTCGATGTGATTTTTGGTGAACACAAGAACAAACCTCTCAGGAATATATGTAGGAGAACTATTGAGTTACAGAGTCTGTATATACTCACTTGAGTAGGTATTGCTGAACAGTGTTCCATAGAAGTTTGATATTTTTGATATTTTTCATCTTGACCATTTGGGTGAGTATGTAGTGGAGTATCATTGTCTATTTATTATTTATTATTTCTTTTTAAAAAATGTTATTTAAAAGAAAGGAATATGGTGGGGGGAGAATTATGGGGTCCATACCTAAGGGGAAAAACCAACTACTCTACAGAAATGAACAACTATGTAAGAAAATTTTTTAAAAAATTAGTATTTAATTTACATTAGTAGTCCATGAATGAGTCACTTTTCATATGTTTACAAACCATTTAGATGTACTCTTTTCTAAAATGTCTGTTCAAGTCTTTGGCCCATTGTGTATTGGGTTGCCTGTCTTTAGCCTCACTGATTTGTAGAAGTTCTTGATATATTCTGAATATTTGACTCTTGTTGGACATATGTATTGCAGCATTTCTCTCCCTCTCTTTCTCTCTCTCTCTCACTGTTTTATTATTTTATAGTATGTTTTATTTGATAAGCAGAATTTAAAAATTGTTATATAGTGTAATTTATCAGGTGTTTTTCCTTCCTGGTTGGCATTTTTTATTATTTAAATCTTTTTCCTCTTCAAGTTCATGGAGATGTTTGCTTATGCTTTCTTCCAAAAGTCTTATTGTTTTACCTTCTACATTTAGATATCAGTTCATCTGGAATTGTTTTACTATGTTGTCTGAGATCAGGATTTCCCCCCAATAGGGACATTTAACTAATCCTGCACCACTTATTAAAAATATTATACTTTCCCCTAGTGCATTTCTGGCATGGATCTGTATCTGGCATTTCTGTTTGGTTTCATTGATTCATTTTTTTGTTCTTTAGCATAATTTTAATGACTGCATACTATTTAATTGACCAGAAGTTCCATAACTTATTCAACCAATCCCCAATTGCTAGGCACTTAGGGTGCTTCCTATTATATTGGATATATTTTGTAAGACCTATCTTCCTTCTCCAAAAATACCCTCTTCTTCATCAGTCAATCATAGTTACCCCTCTCTTCAGTTGGGGTGTGTGTATGTTTGAGTACATTTGTGCTATGGAATAAAAGGAAGTAAGGCCTTTGTTTTGGGGCTGTAAAATGGTAGCTGCCACCCAGAGGAAGGTTCTTTTCAAGAATCACAGTTTCTAAGGCTGTTGGCAGAGTCTTTCATGCACGGGAAGGACTATTTCAGCTGCAGTAGCCATCCTGGCATTTGAGGAGCAGCATTGGTACCACATGCATGTTTGTGAGAGAAGGAAGGGAGGCTGATGAACCAGTTTTTTTTTTATTTTAATTTTAAAAGGACAGATTTATTAGGAAAAGGAAAAAGGAGAGGCACCTGCATAGTCGCAGGTGGGCAGGAGAACTGCCACTCCTGTTTTGCAAAGGGAAAAGGTTTTTGATGAACTACTGTTATGCTGACAAAATCTTCTACCCACGCCTTCTCCTGAGGATCCCAGCCCCCTGTTTCTACCCCACTCCCCAAGGAAATCTTCCTTCTTTCCTCCACCCTGGAGGAGGAAACTGTCCTGGACTTTATAACTTAAATCTGGAGATAACTCAAGTCCCAAATAAAACGTCCTAATGAAGATGTTCAGGCAAACATTCACTAGAGATAAACCCAGAAATATTCTTTTTGCCAAGAAAAACTTAAAACTCCAGGCAGAAACGATCTGGTCTAGTGACTTGCTGCTGGCCACCAGGACAGACTCGGCTCAGGCAGAGCAAAGGCAAGAGTGAAGGAGCCATGGGTGAGTCAGTCTGTCTATGGCTCCAGGGCTGAGGAAATTCTGGTCCCAGCTGTGGATGAATGTGCTTTTCCAGTCTTCCTCCTACCTCACCCAGGAAGAGGCATTGAGAGCCAAGAGCCACACAGATGTTAGCTGTGAATGAGCAGAGGCAGTGGAAAGGCCGGGGGACAGTGGCGAGAGTGGATCTGGTGGAGACCACAGTAGGAGAGGGCTGCAGGAGAAACCAGGAGAAAGGGCTGGCCGCCTGAGTGACAGGCTTGTTTGCTTTCTCCTAATTGATGTGGTTTCCTTACAACCCCCCTGCTGAAACCCAGCTGGTCGACTCAACCATAACAACACGTGGCCTGCCCTGCCCAGCCCAGGCTAGGAGCTCAGGCTGTGAGCCTCCCAATAAGGGTCTGGTTTCATCTGCAGCCACTGCCCCTCCTTCCCAACTGGCTTTGTGCAGATGAGGGAAGAGACAGCAACCCCGTTGGTGAAGTGTGTGGGGTTGGGAGTGAGGCTGGGACTGCTTGCTTTGGGTTCCCCTGGCTGCTTACCTTGGTTTCCCATGACCTTTAAAAAAGGGTAGTTCCCTGCTTTTGGGGGCCACGGCCTCCAAACAGGTATGAGTAGGGGACCTTGGACAAAGAACTCCTTGCTGTTTGTAAGGAGTAAGGTGGTTTGTAAGGTGGCTTCTCCACAGGTGTGCCCTCTTTGGCAGTGGACCTCAAAACAATTGGGGTGTGTCTCAAGTCCATACAAATTCCCTGTTTTCCTCTAATTTTTCAGTATTGCTTCTCTCCCTCGCTAGGACTCTTACTCTGTCCAAATTACTTATCTTACCCCTCTCATTCTTTCATTGATCCATTTTACCATCAAGTATCAATTGAGCAGCTCCTGTGTACCTTTAGTAAACAAATTATTACTTAGGGGAACACTCTCCAGGGGTGTCAGCTCTTTTCTGACAAACATTTTGTAAACTGGGTGATTGCCCTGGGATTTATTTTTTCTCTTCCCTCTTCCCCCTTTAAAAGACTTTCTATAATAGTAAAATAAAGCTCATTCAGAAAAAGTCCAAAACTTAAGTTTACCATATAACAACTTAATTATAAAGCAAAACTGATTAGTTTCTATGCCTGCTGCTGTCCTAATATGGAGCAAGGAGTGGGGTGGGGTGGGGGTAACAAACGAGAAGTAGAATTGGTACGAGGCAGCTTTACTGGACTTCAGGACTCCCCAACCTTCCAGAAAAGTGAGGCCAGAGGAAGGAGGCCCCAGACAAAACTTTAAAAGAAAGACAGGCTCTTGTGCCCTTTGTGTGACTCCACAGGCGCAAGCCAGAATCCTCTCCAAGGGGGAGATCCCTAATGAGGACCCCCAGAGCTTACTGTGCATTAGCCTTACTCTAGCTGCAGCCAGTAGTTGGGGCTCATGAGGCCTGCTCACTGCTCCACTTTCTGCCCCCAATCCAAGCAGCCCTGGCTGTGGCCTGGCATTTCTGCAGAGGGCTGGATACCCTTTCTGCAAAAACTTCGTGTCTATCAGGTTGAGAGACTTGCCAGATTTTTTTTTTTCTCTGTTTGAAAGCAGCCACTATTAAGTGACCGGATCACAGAAACAATCATGGTAGACACCTTAGTTCATCTGTAATCTGGTTTTCCACATTGCCTGTAGTTCTACTTTCTACAAAATAGGTGGTCTTTTTCTTCACCTCATGGAGAAGATCATTCGAAGGGCTAGAGGGAGTTGTTTGCCTCTCTGAAGTGTTTTTCCCAACAGTGCAGATGTCATGAATTAGATCCTCCACACAGATGATGCCACAATTACCAAGCAGGAGCAATCAATGTGCTGTCTGCCAGGGCAGTTCTTGTTGAATTTGTCATAACTACCCTTGTAGATCAGTTCATTTGCTGACTTCGAGTTGAGGTTCACCTTGGAACATTAGCTTTTGTAACCCTTGACTTGTGACCTGAAGCCTTCTTGAGCTTCACAACGGTGCCATTGAACATCTGGTAAAGGCAGAGAAACTACAATACCTGGACTCACACTACTGCTGTCTGATCCTGATGACAAATGCCAATTCGGGTTCTGCAGTCACACAGACGTTGCCAGCTTTTCCTACAATCCTAATCATTCGAATTTCCATTCTGTTCATCTCTATTCCTTGTGATGGTGCTTAACTGCTTCATAGATAAGATCTTTCTTGCCTTTCAGAGTGTCTTTTGGGCAAAACTTTTTCTCAGGCACTTGATCATCAGCTCGGCAAAATTCCTTCACTTTTTCTTAAGGCTTTCTGGCACAGCAGGAAGCTTCTTTTTCTTCTCTCGGATTTCTGGCATAGCAGGAACTTTTTTCTTCTCTTCTGCACCCTCCATGTTCCAACCGGAAAAGAGAGAAACTTAATCAGATTTCTTTCTCCTGGTGCCCAAATTCAGTTCTTGCATAAGGAGAAGATTTTAACCCTGTAGAACACTTTAGCACAATTTTCCTTGGTTGCATGCGATGACTCATTAGCCAGGACTCCCTGAGTTTTGACAGTGACGCCACTTTAGGACACTTGCCTTCTCATATAACCAACCCAGGATGAGCAGTGTTCAGTGGTGGCCTCAGAGCAACTGAAGCCAGAGACTCAGACACCACCAGTCTCTTCCCTCCTCCTCTTGTCTATTTATCTTTGCATTTTTAAAAAATATTTATTTATGCATACAAGAACTGGGGTACAGGCCAGAGGTGTGGGGGGTGAGAGAATTCACCAGAGACAGAGTGGGGAACAGAACAGGCAGATTGACTGAAATACTCTGCTGAGGGGAGCAGCGGGGGAGACAAGAGAAGTCTGCCTTGCCATGTGGGTTGCTCCCTGGCTGGCCCACGATTGAACTCGTGCTGCAGAGGCTGCGGATTGCTTCATAGTGCAGTGCTTAACCCCTTGCACCACCAGGGAGGCCCCTGTCTTTGCATTTTGACTTTATTCAATAGTTGTTCTTCCGCTGTGAGGCTGCCAGTTGTTCCTGACCTTGAGACAGAGATTGAAAGACTAAGATTGGTGGCCCCGGTGCACCTGTATGGAGAAGCTGCAAGTGAGGCAAAAGAAGAGGAATTTCCCCTAAAGAGGGGAAGTACTGTTTCAAAAAAAGTGCTAGGTAGAAAAACTAATAAATGGTCACCACTGTGTTCTGAGACAGGTCAACTATGTATGGCAGAAAACCCCATATAGCAGCCACTTCGATAAGATGACAAAGGGCTCTAAAGCAGAGTCCTGGGCTCCTTCTTACGTGTTGCTCTGCCACCTCATCATCCTAGAAGATAGCTTGAGCGCCAGCCATCTCCATAGAAACCATCTATTGTAGGGAGCGGGAAGAGAGAGAAATGAAGAATGGCCTAACCTGCCATCCTTGAGGACAGCTCATGCAAGGCACACACCTTTCAGTGCACAGCCCTCACGTCCCAAACTTAGATCTACAGCTGCATCTGGCAGTAGGGACTTCCGAGGAGGGTCTTGAGCCTGGACAGCCATGTGCACAGCTAAGTTTATATACACCAAGGAGGAAGGAGAGACTGGGTGTCAGGGGGCATTGAGCAGCTGTGCCAGGACCATGATCCACATGGTACTTTGAGAGGGCATTTCCAGCTGATGGGGCACACCTTGCTATGCCAAGGAATCCACTCCATTTTTAGGCAGCCCAAATCTGTGCCTCATGACCTGCCGGTGCCTGCTCTGCCCTGTAACGCCTTTCTATACCATGGCATTTACGTTATTTGAAGACAACACTGGAACCTAAGTGTGTTTGATCCACTCATCCTTAGCTTCTGTTTTTCAAGTTCCAGACCTCAGCCCTTGCTGTGCAGCAGTGGCTGGTCAGTATCTTCCTTAAAATGTGACATGCTAAACTGGGCCCAGTGTCCAGGTGTTGTGTGCCCAGTGCCAGATAAAAGTGGGCAGTTGGCACTTTCCACCCCCACCCCCACATCTATCCATGTGCCAAGGTTGAGAGAGAATGTGCCATCTCAGGTCTGATGGACTTGTCACCAACTAACCTCACATTCATCCTCATGTGGATGTCACCGTGC